ATATTGACGAAGCAGATATTTTCCCAATTTTTGAAATTTTAAAATGCGGTAACCAAAAATTTAAAGGCAAAAGAAAAAGATTTTTTAAAAGTTTTTAATAAAACAATCCAGAATTTTATATTTTGGGGGAAAAAAATTATTCAATGATTTCCCAAAAGCATTATTTATTTATCACATTTCATTATCTTTTATTTTTATTTCGATTGTTTAAAAAAATTTACATATATATATATATATATATAAATATATATATATATATATATAAAAATACAGGAAAAAAAAAAAAAAAAATGGGGAAATAATATGCAATTATGCTGTATTAATGTTAATATAAAGTCAACGTAAAACGTTTCGGTCTATTTTAAGACCATCTTCAATGGACATTTTTTACATTTAAACATAATTAACATTAGAACATATAAAATTTTTTTAAAGAAAGATAAAAATAAGAAATCCAATTTTAATCCAAACAAATAACTGATTTTTTTATATTAAGATCAATTTCCGTTTAAATATGATCAATGTATCGTCGTCACGTGGGCGATGTTGTTAAAACGTATTCGAAGATGATTTCAAAATATTAAAATATTAAAAAAGTCGATTGAATATTTTATAGAAACAGTTCAATAAATCCTTCCGTTGATATAAGAATACGCATAGATCAATAGGTTCTTATATCTTATACAATATTTGAAGTCCTCCACGTTACAAAGCAAATCAAAAATGATTTAAAAACGATGGAACATTTCTAAAAACAGTTATCTGTTTTTCAATTAGTTGTGCTCTTATGTCCATTATCTTTTTGATTTTAAATTTTATATGTTCTAATGTTAATTATGTTTAAATGAAAATGTCCATGAAGATGGTCTTAAATAGACAAAAACTGAATTGACGTCGATTTTATATTAACATTAATACAGCATAATTGCATATTAAGATTTTTTTTTTTTTTTTCTGTATTTTTTCTTCATACTGTCGGATCTATATCCATATATTTATAAATTTACATTAGTCGGACTATTGTCCTCATCTTTGTCGCCATATTTTTCACAAACGTTTCGGCCGTTGTACGCTTCCGGCCTTCTTCAGGTGGTTGGAATTTCGAACTGAACTTATCCTCACTTATTAGTTTATTTTTAATGGATGACTGTTTCAGTTATCTCCTTTAATTTTGATGAAAAATTTTTCCACTGCCTTAACAGTGGATAAATATTGGTTAGATCCAGTGACAGACCCAAAGAAGGTGAGTTCAATACCTGGTTAAGGCAGTGGAGAACTTTCAGAGGGAAAATTAGGAGGAGATAACTGATAAAATGACATCCATCAAAAACATGGCACGTGGAACTAGAACAGTATACCCCAATGATCGAATAAAGGGTTCAGTTCGAAATTCCAACCACCTGAAGAAGGCCGGAGCGTACAACGGCCGAAACGTTGTGACAAATATGGCGACAAAGATGAGGACAAAGTCCGAATAATGTAAAATACTATACATAATACCTCATCTCAGAAATATAGACAGAATCCATATATTTGCTTATATATATATATATATATATATATATATATATATATATATATTTTAATGAGAACCACGTATACTTTTTTTATGTATATATAGAAAAAAAAATTAAAAAATAATAATATTCTTTTTATGAAAGTATTTATTTATTTGTATATATATTTGATATTTCAGATTGGTCTCAATCTTTCTTCAGAAATAACTGTTTAACTAGTGTTAAATAAAGACTTGGGTATTTTAAATCTTTATACATATTTCAATAGTTAAACATTTTTTTAGATATAGTTAAAAAAATTTTATTTCTTATTTTATTTTTTTTATTTTTTAAACAACATCTAAGATATTAATATAGTTAGATTTACGTTAGGAATATTCGTTCCATATCACGTGACATCCGCATCTTGCGACGGACGCTACTTGTAAACAAACAGTTATTTCTGAAGAAAGATTGAGGCCAATCTGAAATATCAAATATATATACAAATAAATAAATACTTTCATAAAAGAATATTATTATTTTTTTTTTTCATTTTTCTTTTTTTTTCTCTCTCTCTATATATATATATATATATATATATATATATATATATATATAAGAGAGAGAGAGAGAGAGAGACAGATTGTATAATCTGATATCTCTAACATAATCTTATCTATCTATCTATCTATCTATCTATCTGTCTGTCTGTCAGGCAGTTATGTGCCTTGCGTGTTACACGCTTAGGTGATCATGTATCTTTGAATACATGACTGACAAGGCAGTTTTTTCTCACAGTAGGTTGCCATTTCTTTCTGTGGTAGACCAGTTGCTATCCAAGGCTTTTAACCCATAGCTGGGGGGTGGGGAGAAGAGGATTCATACATTTTCCAAGTGAATGTAACGGAATTGACTGGACTTCGAACTCGGCTCTCCAATTCCAGAAATAATCAGGTTTTATTTCTCCACCGTGCCTCAGGTCATCTTATTTTTGATAATTATTTCTACCTGGGGCGGCGTATTAATGATCACATAGTGTTCAGATATCGTAGAGAGAATATTGTCATTATCATAAAATTTCGGCTAGTTTCATATCTTATTTTGACCGAGATGGTGTTTAGTACTTAACTTCCACGACATTTGTTTTAATAGCTGAGTGGTTAGAACGTTCACATTCAGATCATGAGACCCGGGTTCAAATCTCACCATGGTCGATTTGCCAAAAAGGAGACTTCCTGATGCTATCGGACTGGAGGGGTTGATCCCAAGGTGCGGCACAATGAGAATCATATCACGGGTTGATTCAAGCCTTGTGTGTGAAATTGGATAGACGGAATCCTTGGGTATCATCAAGAGCTGTGTTGGCACGGTCACAAGTCATCGTGGCCGAGTGTCATGAGCCTGCTGGCCTTGTTCAAATTGTTGATCACACTAGATAACAAGCTCTTTCTCACAAACTGAAACTAAAGTCTGCTCAGTATAGTTGCAGTATAAAAAAACAGGTGGTCTCTGTGGGTGAAGAATAAACACAAATGAACCTCAGCAAGCGTCTGCAATAGGGATTGGTTAACCACCCTAATAGACGGGTATCCTCGAATACGAGTGGCCGGCTATGCAACGATTTTTAGCTGGGTTACAGTGTGGTGATTTTGGTCCCTGAAAATTATTTAGGATAAAAAACTAAGTCGGACTGGTTCAGAACTCAAGCTAAGTGCGAAGAGGCAAATTAGAACGACAGATTTTGAGAAAAGGGAACATGACGACTGTTTGAGTTTAATTCAGTTCAAGGAAAATGTTGAATGAAAACGGGTTCTACGTGTGTTTGCAAACGAAGTGCGTTTGCGGACTATGATTGCTTTGAGATTCGTCCTCGTACCTTGTTGGACGGTCAGACTATAGCAGTGTCAGTGGGCTTCTAGGTAGCAGTCCGAGCTTCCCCTGGGTTGCAGGCTCGTATCCGGGTTGGTCGATTGCGGCAGCTGCTTCTCTATGGCCGTCTAGGACTCGGGTAAAGGCAGTCCGTCACGCAAAATGCAGGACACAAGTCGACAGGTCAAGGCTAAGAGCCAGTCGCAAAAAAAAGCGAAATGTATTCAGTCACCCCCCCCCCACGTGGGTGTTTAACGTGGGATCTCTGAGCCCGTGGGTTCAGCCAAAAATATGCCTATTGAACCCGTATAAACGGGTTCAGGATCGGTTTACCTCCCCGAAAGAGACTCTGCCCTTCGGCGTAGCCTCGTTCGGGTTCCTCCCCGCCCGAAGGTAGAGAGTTCAAACGATCAGCCAGTCAGCCGATCGTCCGACTTCAGGATGAACTAAAGAAAAGCGAACGAGGCCGAATTCTGGGATTCGGGATTTATATAGGGGTCTGACGAGTGTACCACATGACTTCTACAAGGGCACTGATTGGGCCCTCATTCGACCTATTGAACATGTGACCGTTAAATACCAATAAAAGCGACAATGATTACACATAATAGTCTGTCGAAGTTTTAGAGATTCCGAATTGGGTAAGCCTCTCACCTCGCAGGGTCTGCATGTATTGATTGACTGAAGGCAAATGTTAGCCAGTTACAGAAAGAGAAAGACTTGCAGAAATTAACAGAGAGGGTTTAAGAAAGAGAAGTAAAGTAAGCAATATTGAGGGAGAGAGATGGGGCGAGAGAGTGTGTACTCAAGAAGGAATGTGTCAGATAATGAGAAAACCAGAGAGTTTGGGAATTTTATTGATATATATATATATATATATATATATATATATATATATATATATATATATCACTTGGTTTGCCTGATGAGATAACTGGAGATAAATATCTTTGTTATTTACCTTCTGATTCGAGCAGGAAATTAATGCTTTAAGACAATTTGACGAAGGCAGTGAGAGCATTGCGCGCAAATCATTGTCCTGGGGCACATGATAAGATTTTTCGCTGATATAGTCTCGCTTAAAAATAACGTAGAACCGAGGAACTAATTATGGCGTATGAAAATAAAAAAGAAGAAAATATAAAACCTCATAAACACACAAACATAAACGCTATCTCTCCCCCCTCTTTCTCTTTATATATATATATATATATATATATATATATAGTGTGTGCGTGTGTATTTTGGCAGCATTTTTTCATTGATGCCTGTTTCATTAAATAATATTGACAAGTTTTGTCTATTTATTTTATGTAAATTCTATTCATATCGTCTGATAAGCTTATGAACATTATCATTAAAAGTCGAAAAAAAAATCACCATATTGATACATATTTTTTAATCCTTAGCTTTCGGCTTGCATAAGCCATTACCAAAAATGACAATTACATAATTTCCTTCAGTTGGTCCGGGGGAGTTATATCTTTTAGTTTATTGTAGATGTCCCCTTTGTTGCTGTTAAGGTTGTTCAATTTTTCTTTGGCTATTTCACTTTGCTTTTTCACAAGGCTACCTTTATAATTCCAAGTGTTCATTGGCGAAGTAGGGACGGAGAGCAACCTGGTTTTGTCCATGTCTCTCTCCGTCCTACTCCGGCAGATTGACTTTGCAAAGGTTCTTCCTCTTCTTCGTCTCTCGTTCTTTTTAAAGATGCTGCTCGCGGTGGAGGCATTGTATCCACCTCCATTGGTGTGTCTGTGTCTTGCACCTGCTTCCTTTCTTGTTGCTGTTTGTGGTGTTCCCGTCTTGGCTGCTGCACTTCTTGCTGCACCTTTTTTGGTTGCTGCAACTCTTTGGATTTTTGTGCATCCTTTTCAGATCGCACCTCCTTGTTATTTTTGCGCTCGGAAAAAAAGCTTCTCTGTTGTTGGTTGTTTTTTCGCTTCTGGTTTAGAAGGAGACGACATCTTAAGCGATTTTTGGTTTCTCGCTACATCCTTCCAAGCATATTCTGACTTTGAGGTTCCCTCCTCTACCTGCACTACTGCTGCTGCTACTGGTGCCGATGACAAAAATATGTCTTTGGAGATTTTAAATTGGGGCCAATTTTACTTTATTCATAAAACTATTTGGCCATATGGCCCGCCGCTATTCCACGCCCAACAACACGGCCTCCTTATTTCTACGACGGCCAACATTTTTCTGTCCCTACACATAATTTCAGAATGTTATGTTCAAAAAATTTTTGTATTTAGTGTGATATGTATTCCATATCACCGGTCCAAAATCCGAGGCAATCTTTAAAAATGAGGGCCTTTTATTTGGTTCAACTCGCCGAATTTGGCGAAGAAGGCCCCATCCTAGAATATAAATGTCTACGGGCACCATATGGACGGTGACTTTTGTCCTACGGGTGCCCATGTATTCCGTTTGCAAGCGTAAATTCTTCGTCGATAATACGCTTCCGGCTAAACTTTTGACCTGCTGCACCGTTTGAAGTAATAAGTCCCATAAGGCATTCATCCTACGTGCCAGGACTTTGGGGCTGATATTTAATGCCTTAAGGGCTTCCTCCATAGTTTCCCTGCTGACCCCAATTAACTTTAGCACAAAAGAGACCTAACAAAAAACAACTTAGCTAGTTCACTAATCATACGTAGGATTAAATTCAACCATAATTTTGATTTTAAAAATGCTAAACTCATAAAAAAAAGAAAATAACTCACTCAGAAGGAACATTCTAGAGAGTGCCGCCATAGAATATTAATATACGCCCAGGCTTTTTCCCTATTTCACCTTTCTTAACAAAATTACTGCTCTCCCAAACAAACGTACACAACAATATCGTACAATCAAAAGAAAATGGTTGAATCCGCCAACACAATTATAATGACAATATTCTCCACACGTGACAATAACTGACGTTATTTTCAGTTAACAATAGGAAAATAGCGTTCTCTACATTCCTCCAGTTGCTAAGAACATTCTGTTTTTTGTTGTTATTAGTTATGTTCTTTAATTAAATTCATTTCGTTTTTTGCTTTGAGAAAGTCCACATTGGACGAAAAGCGTCAGCAATAACTACAGTTTTTCTATTGTCATTTATATATATATATATATATATATATATATATATATATATACGAAAAGGGTTTTTGCTCCCGCATTCTTGATCTAGGCCTATTATTATTAATTTGTCTGGAAAAACGGAAGACAGCAAAAGAAACTCTAATACCTACTAAAAATAACGTTTATATTAATAAGAAATGAATTATCCCGTTGCGACGATGGGTGTGGTTTCAGTAAATTGTAAGTTATTACTGAACAATCTACACAAGTGAATTATTTAATGTATTCAGTTGCCTGTGCCCTGACAACTATCTCTATCATAACACCATATCCTGTACTTTCGCATAATCTATTAGCCATTATGAATTGGTGGGCTTATTTGTCAAAATATATAGATATTTTTTCTAATAGAAAGGTTTTAATTCCCAAACATTGCCAGCACATTGTAGCCGTTTTCATGATTAATATTATTAACGAAAAAAATCCCTTTAGATATTTATTACACACGGTGCCCATGAACGTTCGGTAACGGAAAATTTGGCGACAGAAAATTCGGTAACGGAAAATTCTGTCACGGAAGATTCGGTAACGGATGATTCGGTAACGTAAGATTCGGTAACGGAAAATTCGGTAACGGAAGATTCGGTAACGGAAGATTCAGTAACGGAAAATTCGGTAACGGAAGATTCGGTAACAGATGATTCAGTAACGGAAAATTCAATAACGGAAAATTCGGTAACGGAAAATTCGGTAACGGAAGATTCAGTAACGGTAAATTCGGTGACGGAAAATTCAGTAACGGAAAATTCGGTAATGGAAAATTCAGTAACCGAAAATTCGGTAACGAAAGATTCGGTAACGGAAGATTCAGTAACGGAAAATTCAGTAACGGAAAATTCGGTAACGGGAAATTCGGCAGTGGAAAATTCGATAATGGAAAATTCGATAATGGAAAATTCGGTCAGGGAAGATTCGGTAACGGAAAATTCAGTAACGGAAAATTCGGCAGCGGAAAATTCGGTAACGGAAAATTCGGTAAGGGAAAATGCAGTAACGGAAAATTCGGTACCGGAAAATTCGTCAGTGGAAAATTCGGTAACGGAAAATTCGGCAGTGGAAAATTCGGTAAGGGAAAATGCAGTAACGGAAAATTCGGTAACGGAAAATTCAGTACCGGAAGATTCAGTAACGGAAAATTCAGTAACGGAAGATTCGGTAACAGAAAATTCGGCAGTGGAAAATTCGGTAACGGAAAATTCGGTAACGGAAAATTCGGTTACGGAAGATTCAGTAACGGAAAATTCGGTAACGAAAAATTCGGTCACGGAAGATTCAGTAACGAAAATTCGGCGATATTTACAACGTAGGGAAATTCTTTAACTATAAAATAAAAGCCGATGTAAAATTGATTTTAGAGCCTTTCCAGAGAATCGATTTGGGGCTAAGCCCCCCCCACTATATTTTTGAAATAGAAATGAGCCTATACAGTTATCGACTGTTTAAAAAGAAATAACTATCTAAAACTTAATTTATTTACTGCATTTTTTATAAAAATAACAATTTGCAAAGAAGAAAAATACAGTAGAGTAATTAAGTAAATTCTTATTTTAAAAGCTTGACGACACTTCGCAGATATCTCTCCCGAGTAAGACTCCCCCATAGAGGAGAACATGACTAAAGACTGTGTGTACGCTATCCCGTGCAGCTGCGGAAAGGAATATAAAGGAGAGATAGGCCGCCCCCCTCAAGGTAAGGCTTTAAGAACACCAGAAAGTTGTAACATGAGGGGAAGTAGAAAAATCAGGCGTGGCTGACCACATATGGAGAGAAAAGGGAGATCACCGTCCCCTGTGGGATCATGTTGAGATCATAGACAAGGAACACCATTGGAATATTCGTAAACTTAAGGAAACAGCACATATGCTAGGCTACAAAAATCTCCTCAGCCGACCAAGCATAGAAATAAATACATTATAGGAACCAGTAAGTAGAGTGCCAGAGAAAAGCGATAATAATAAAGTTACAATATGAGCTCTGGTAAAAACATGCAAGATTGCAATATGAGCACTGGTAAAAATGTTTTCTGAAGACATTAGGTTTATAATACCCAGAAATTCATATCCACATGGCACAGTGGATAAAGGCGTTGGTTAGATCCAGTGACAGGCCCCAAAGAGTGTGAGTTCAATGCCCGGTTAAGGCAGTAGAGAACTTTCAGAGGGAAATTAGCAGATAACTGATAACTGACATCCATCAAACATGTCACGTGGGACTCGTAACGATTGAAAACAATGTTTTTGTTTGAGTTTGGGTTTGACCAATTCGTAAAAAAAACAAAAAAATAATTAAGACATGCGTGTCCGTCAACCTTAAACAATAATCTTTGTCAATTTTATTTTTTAGTCTTTATGATGGTCGATACTTGATCTATCTCTTACTGTTACATCCCTGGGCAACGCCGGGCTCTACTGCTAGTATAATATAAATCCTAACCGTAGTGCTATTTCAGTCATCTTCAATGAAACCTGTAGATATAATAAAATATGTTTCTTTATTCAAAGGTCATTTTTAATGCATACTCCTAGTTAAGTAGACGTTCCGTTTATCTGTTGCGTTTATCGGCTTTCATAGTTGAGAAAACGTGTCCTACGGCAGGGGTCGAAGATGCGTTCCCCATTTCAGGAGGAACCACAGCCTTATCAGCGGTGCTTTTACCACTTAGCTATGAAGAGCTTCACAATAACGCAGGCTTCTATTTTATCATTGATTAGCAGTAGAGCCCGGCGTTGCCCGGGGATGTAACAGTAAGAGATAGATCAAGTATCGACCATCATAAAGACTGAAAAATAAAATTGACAAAGATTATTGTTTAAAATTGACGGACACGCATGTCTTAATTAGTTTTTTTTTTTTTACGAATTGGTCAAACCCAAACTCAAACAAAAACATTGTTTTCAATCGTTATGAGTCTACCGATTGAATAGAATTTTATTATAAACAATTGTCTTGTAAATGGAATTTTTAAAGCATTCTGAGTGTCAAAATAAAGAAAAAAAAGTGTGCAAGACAATAAGAAACACTACCTGCCAAAAAATAAAGTGAAGTTTTGTTGAAATCGGTTGAAAAATGTAGGAAATCCGATCCCATATATAAACGAACACACACACACACACAAACAAACAACCTGGGTTTTATAATAAGTATAATTCAATATGAGTTGTCCCCCTTACATTCTCGTGATGCCTCTTAATCGTGTTTTCAAATTGACTTCGTGCAAAAACAATTGTGTTTTTCCAATTTTAGGCGCTGTCAGAACCACCGCAAGGTAATTTGACGTAGTCCTGTGAAGTTTTGTTGAAATCGGCTGAAAAATGGAGGAAATCCGATCCAATATATAAACGTACAGACACACACACACACACACACACACACACACACACACACACACACACACACAACCTGGGTTTTATAATAAGTAAGATGCTTACCTCAGATTCTTTCTCGAAATACGTGTCGGAAACGTAAAGCGCTTTCTAAAGTATTAATAAATTTGTTTTTAATCTGACATTTTTATTACTTAAAATGAACTGTACAGCAATCACACGATTTGTGTGGTTAATGTGTACATTAAAAGATAAACACTTATCGAAAACGCATTAATCGAATATAATAACTTAAAGAAGATACTTACCTGGCACCGGAAAAGTCCTACCCCGAGGGGGTATACACATTCCGACACTTACCTGTCCCAGGGCTCCGTCTCTGTGCTAGTGGTATCACGGCTACGACTAGCTTGGACCGGCTCTGACCAGTTTGCACCAGCTATGACAAGTCAAGGCCAGCTATGACTAGCTTAGACCAGCTCTGACCAGCTTGGACAAGCTATGAGCAGCTAAGACCAGCTTAGACCAGCGGCCCGAGTAAAAACACTCGCGTCGCCACGTTAAAAACTGACCTTGTGTCACAACTTGACTCGGGGGTCAAGTAAATATCTATAATAACTTAAAGTAAATTGGCATTTGGGCGTCAGATTTTAGTCTCATTCACCATTAATTTCTAATCTGCGTAATTTTTAATTAAAATAGCGGAATATAAAGTGTGTTCCGGTGACTAAGACCGATTTTAAGCTTAATTCACATTTAAAATACTTATTACAACACCCATTATAAGAAGATGCAACAAAATGCTTTGAATTAACGTTTATTAATCTGATTTTTTATCAGAAACTTATTTCGAGTGATTTGTTGCATGGTATTCTTGTGTTCTTCATATAATTGGCGGTTCTGAGAAATTGCCACTTCAAATTTTCCAAACATATCATAATCATTAGCATATTAACCTGAGAATTTGATTAATACTCTTTCCATAGTAAATACACACATCTTTTATATTTCGATATTTTTAAGAGGTGTGCCTAATTAAATCGTCCATTTTTTTAAACAAATATTCAGAAATTTCCTTTTAAAACCTTCAAAATAAACAGAAAAAATTTCAAAATATTCCAAAATCTTTAATAGAGACAAATATTTAAATAGGTATTTTTATTAGTATTTTTATTATTATTTTTATTATAAAATTTATCTATTCATAACCGTTCATTTTTTATATTTATTTATAGGCCACCTCGGTGTGATGTTAGCAAGCTTGTCTCGCTAGAACAATTACGACTGAGTAGAGAGTTAGATTTTCATTGGGTGCCCCATTACTTTCGGCCTTGTGCCACACCTAAACTACGCTTCGAAAATTATTTTTGTGCACCTTGACATGGTGTAATGGTTAGCTAGCTTGTCTCGTTGGATCAGTTACGACAAAAGTGAGTTCGATCCTCACTAGGTGCCACAAATTTTCGGCCTTGTGCCACATCTAGGCTAGAAAATTACCATAACCATCCAGTTTTTTAAAACACTTATGTAATTACTTGGATAACGTAATACTTGACAAACAAAATAGTTACACATTTTCCGTTTTATAATTTCAGAAAACTTTTAATTAATCGGTAACTATATAAGAAAAACAATTTTTAATTACTACGGCTAAACTGGAGAATTATTTCACGCGCACTAATCGAGTATTTTGTATGCCAAAATCGTATTTTAGTATATAAAATTTTTAACGCACTAGTCGAGAAGGCATTAATCGAGGGATTCCTGTACCAAATAGACTTTTCAACGTATGTATGTATAATCATATATTTGCGTATAGGCGTTTCTATGCGAGGGAGTCCCGTCACCCCGTTCTTTTCCTCTCGATATGTGATTATTTACAGGGTGGGGGTCTGTGTAGCGTCATCGTTGAGATCCCTGCCATGTCTGTGCCGAGGACCCTGACTACTGCACTCATTTCACTGGGCGAAGAGCCTCTTGTCGTATTTCCCCGAAGGTGGCGTCTTTGATCTTGTCTTGTAGACAAGGCGATTATGGCACCCACGATTCATGATGGACGACAGAACCACTTGAGACTTGATAGGGGAGCGGTCGAGAATGGTGTGGGTAACGTCAGAGGGAATAAATAAAAGAGGTTCTTGAAATGGAATTGTCTCTTCTGGTCTTTTACTTTCTCAAAGACTGAAAATTCTTGGCCGAGGCTTGTTGTTCTTTCATTTGCCGACATTTTGTTCACTGTTTTTTTTTCGGGAATTTTTGCCTGTTTTTTTTTTTTTTTTTTTTTTTTAATCGCCTTTCATTTTTGTTCATGTTTATTTTTTTCCCATTTTGTAGTCTTTCCTTCAACTGCTTTCTTATTTTTACATTCATCCTTTTCCATATTTGAACGTTCTTTGATTTACATTATTTTCCAATTCTTAGTCTTTCTTTCTTTCTTTCGTTCTTTCTTTTTCTTTCTTTCTTTCTTTCTTTCTTTCGTTAGTTTTTTTCTTTCTTTTTCCTTTCTTTCTTTTTCCTTTCTTTCTTTTTCATTTCTTTCTTTTTCATTTCTTTTTTCTTCATTTTTAAATTTGTTTCTTTCTTTATACTTTTCTCTATCCCTTCCTTTTCTTTCTTTCTTTCTTTCTTTCTTTATCATTTCCTCTTTTCATTTCCTTTTTCTTTTCTTTCTTTTTCTTTCTCTTTATACTTCTCCTTTATCCCTTCGTCACTTTCTTTCTTTTGTCTTGCTATCTTTCTTTTGCTTTCTCATTTTTTCATTGATCAATTTTCTCTCTTTATAATTTTTTCATTTCTTTCTTTCTTTCTTTCTTTCTTTCTTTCTTTCTTTCTTTCTTTCTTTCTTTCTTCCTTCCTTCCTTTCTTCATTTCTTCATTTCTATCTTCCTTTCTTTTTCTTTTTTATTTCTTTCTTTATTTATATAGTTATTTTCATTTTTCATTTTGTTTGTTTCTTTCTTTTTCTCTTTATACTTTTCTCTATCACTGCTTTTTCTTTCTTTCTTTCTTTCTTTCTTTCTTTCTTTCTTTTCCTTTCTTTGCTTCCTGTTTATTCTTTTCTTTTATCCGTTCTTCACTTTTTCTTTTTTACTTTCATTATCTTTTTCACTTTGATTCATCTTTCTACTTTGTTCCCTTCCTTCCTTCCTTCCTTCCTTCCTTCATTTCATTCTTTCTATCTATCTTTCTTTCCTTCTTATCTCGAATAAGTTTTTTATTAAAATGTCTCCTTTCCTCACACGCTGTTACAGTTGTATTTTTCTGTTTCTTTCTTTCTTTCTTTCTTTCTTTCTTTCTTTCTTTTTAATTCATTTACTTTTTCACTTTGATTCATCTTTCTACTTTGTCATTTTTATGCATTTTTATTCTTTTTTTTTTTTTTTTTCTTTCTTTCGTTTTCTTTCTTTTTTTTCTTTTTTTTTTTTTTCTTTCTTTCGTTTTAGTAATAAAGTAGTAGTAGTAGTAGTAGTAGTAGTAAAGAAGAAGAAGAAGAAGAAGAAGAAAGAAGAAGAAGAAGAAGAAGAAATTTATGTCTTCATCATAGATTGCAAATATAAAAAAATACAATGCCTCGATTTTTCGTGTTACATCAAATTGACCAGTAACCCATTGGGATCTTATGGCTGCCGCATTTACAGTAGTCATAGTAGTAGTAGTGTTGCATCTTGGGCGAGATAGCCTGGCAGAGCCGATGCCACTTCAGGTTGTTTTAGGAATTCAGTTTTTCCTATCCTGACCAAGTCCAATACAAACGATGCCAGTCAGTCTTGCTATTTTAACCCATAGCTTGTGGCAGAAGAGATGGATTCATATATTTCCCATGAGTATTTTGTGCGAACTCGATCGGATTTCTCTATTCGAGTCGCTAACCGTTACACTACTCACCCCAATCCATTGACAACTAGTCTCGGAGGTGCGCTGCTTAGAAGGAAAAAAAAGAGTATGATAAAAAGAAAGAAAGAGATAAAGTGAAAAAGGCAAAATGAAAGAAAGAAAGAAATAGAGGAAGAGATAAAAATTCATAAAGCGAGAAAATTGAATGAATGAACCAAAATGAAAAAAAGATAAAGAAAGAAAGAAAGTGAGGAAGGAATAAGAAAAAAGGATAAAGGGACTGCATAAAAAAGTAATCTGAGTAAAAAAGAAAATGAATGAAAAAGAAAGAAACTAATATAAAAAAAAGGCAGTCAGGAAATAAAATAAAAAAAAAGATGCTAGGATTCAAAGAGATAGAAAAAGTCAGTGTGAAAAATAAAATGGAAAAGAGAAAGAAAGAAAGAAAGAAAGAAAGAAAGAAAGAAAGAAATATGGGAACAGTTTAAAATTATAAAGACGGGAAATTGAAAGAATGAAACAAAACAAAAAGGTACAAGAAAGAAAGAAAAAAAAGGAAAGGATAAAGAAAGTTATAAAAGGAAAGAAACAAAATAAAAGTCAATGTAAAAAAGAAAATAAGTAAGAAAGAAAGAAAAAATTCAAGAAAAAAGAAGAGACAGAGAAAATATAATAAAGAGATTTTTTCAAAAGAAAATGAAAAAAATGAAAAGAAAGAAAGAAAGAAAGAAAGAAAGAAAGAAAGAAAGAAAGAAAGAAAATGAATGAAAGGAACATAGAAAGACGATTATTAATGTAAGGGGAAAAAGAAAGAAAGAAAGAAAGAAAGAAAGAAAGAAAGAAAGAAAGAAAGAAGAAAGAAAGAAAGAAAATGAATAAAAGGAATATAGAAAGACGATTATTAATGTAAGGGGAGAAAGAAAGAAAGAAAGAAAGAAAGAAAGAAAGAAAGAAAGAAAGAGAGGAAGAGATAATTCATAAAGAGAGAAAATTAAAAGAATGAAACAAAATGAAAAAAGATAATGAAAGAAAGAAAGTGAGGAAAGAATAAGAAAAAGAATAAAGGGACTGCATAGAAAAGTAATCTTAGTAAAAAAAAAAATGAATGAAAATGAAAGAAACTAACATAGAAATAAAAAAGAAATTTGCCCTCTCTCTCTCTCCTTCTATCTATCTATCTATCTATCTATATATATATATATATATATATATATATATATATATATATCACTATTCATTCCCAAACTCTCTGGTTTTCTCATTATCTGACACATTCCTTCTTGAATACACACGTTTCTCTCGCCCCATCTCTCCCTCAATATTGCTTATTTTCAGACTTCTTTCTTAAACCCTCTCTGTTAATTTCTGCAAGTCTTTCTCTTTCTGTAACTGGCTAACATTTGCCTTCAGTCAATCAATACATGCAGACCCTGCGAGGTGAGAGGCTTACCCAATTTGGAAATAATAACATAATAATAATATAATAATAATAATAATAATATAATATCATAATAATAATATAGTAATAATATGATAATAATAATATTATGATAATATCATAATAATATCATAATAATAATATTATAATAATATCATAATAATATAATAATAATATAATAATATAAAAAATCATAGTATCATAATAATATAATAATATAGTATTATAATGATATGATAATGTTAAAAAATAATATAGTAATAATATCATAATAATATAATAAAAATATTATAATAATATCATAATAATATTACAATAATATAATAATATTATTATTATAATAATATCATAATAATATAATAATAATATTATAATATCATAATAATATAATACTAATATTATAATGATATAATAGTAATATAATAATAATATAATAATAACATCGTAATAATATCATCATAATAATATTATAATAATATATTAATAATAGAGTACTCTACTTGATACAAAATGGTAGCAAAATTATCATCAACCAGTTATAGAAATGTGACCACGAATGAGCTGAGTCGTGGTACAATCTTTCAAACAATTTGACTAGCAAGCGCTTGCAGAGCAATCGTCCTGACATCACACTTGTGCGCAAGATTAAACATAAATAAGCTCTTGATAAATTTTGTGGTATCTTGGGATTAAAAAAAAAAATAAGAGGTTCAATACAAACGATGCCAGTCAGTCGTGTTATTTTAACCTATAGCTTGAGGCAGAGGAGATGGATTCATATATTTCCCATGGGTACTTGTACGAACTCGACCGGATTTCTCTATCAAAGTCTTTACCCGTTACACTACCCCCATCCCAAACGATACTCTCGTATCTGCGCTGCTTAGAATAGAAAAGTGTATAATAAAAAGAAAGAAAGAAAAAAGTGAAAGAGCTCAGTACAGTCGGGGTACAATCATTCAAACATCTTTACTGACAAGCGCTTGGGGCAATATCCAAAGCATAGACGAATGGTAGACCTATAAATATATAAGATCGATTCTGGCGCAAAAAGTTTTCTCGCGTTACTCAGTGAGCCATCTTTTTTCCTATCCATTTATTAAGAAGCAATGGATTCAAAACATCTTTCACAAATAGTAAATACGCGCACATTAAAATGCTTTCCAAGTACATCTGGGAAATGAAAAACAAAACACCAAAAATATCATGGAAAATAAAAAAAAAGATCATCAGCCTACAACAATCAATTAAAAATCCGCAAACTTTGCTTGGAGGAAAAAATAGCTATTACTACTTTCACAGACCAAAATAAATTACTAAAAAAACAATCTGAGCTCATTTCAAAATGCAGACATGAAAACAAATTTTACTACGTTACTTAAAAATCGAAAACTGAAATGAATAAATACAAATAAACAAAATGATATAAAAAACAAATAAAATAAATTAACCCAAACAAATAATAAACAAATTAAGAAAACCACTCCCGTTAGAATAGACGAAATAGAATAAATAAAAAAAAAAAATATAATACATTAAAAACAAGTAAAAGGCAAATAACCTGAATAAGTAAATAAAGTAAATAATAATAAACAAATTAACAAACCAATCTCGCCAAAATAACCGTCAGAATAGACTACAACCAATCCAAAAATCGGACGAAAAAAAATAGCTATAACTGTTATATATCGCTAAAAAAAATCATTACCTTTTACTCAAAAAAATAGAATAAATAAAAATAGACAAAAAAAAAATAAGTAAATAAATAAAAAAAACTAATAAAAATTAGATAAATAAATGAACTAATTGCCAAATCGTCCCAGCTAAAATAACCATCCGAACTAATAAAAATAAGTATAAATAAGCAAAAACAAGTAAAAATAATGAATCCAAATAAATAAATTAAAAACTCTCTACCCGCCAAAATAACAGAATAGACTACGGCAAGCAATCTAAACATTGGACGAATAAATAACTTTAATTATCTTCCCGGTCCAAAACAAACTATTAAATAATCGACTTAAGCAAATCCCCCATTTTTTTACTACGTTAATAAAACATCAAAAAAACGAAAAGAATAAATAATACAAAATTAAAATGAAAACAAGTGAAATAAATTAACCCAAACAAATAAATAAATAAACAAGCCACCCCGTAAAAATAACCGCCAGAATAGATTACCCACAATGCACCACTGAACGATATATATAAATAGCGGGGAAATATCCAGCATTCATGGCCTGATGATTGCGTCCAGTATGAAACAGTCTGTCGCCTTTTGAGTATTGACTGCAATGTTCACTTTATATATATATATATATATATATATATATATATATATATATATATCGAAATGTCAAAAAGAACAAAGACTAAGATTTCAGTGTTCAAAATATTAATTTAAAACACGGCTCAATACAAAAGTAGAGCAATAAATATTTATTTATTATGCAGTGTTACATTAGAACATGCACATACCCACTACAAAACTCTACATCTTGTTTCAACGTTAAATTAACGTTTCTTCAGGTGGGAATATAAATCCTTTTTATGTTTTATGGAAATTTTCCTAAGACGGAAGTTGGAGTCGGGCTTCGTTAACTGTATTTCTGAATAAAATATTTTGGAACCATCATGGTTTCCCACCTGAAGAAACGTTAATTTAACTCTAAAATAAGATTTACAGTTTTGTAGTGGGTACCTACATGTTCTAATGTAACACTGCATAATATATATATATATATATATATATATATATATATATATATATATATATAAATTATGCACAATTGTACATATTGAGATTTTTAACTAATAGGGTGTTTTTTCCCCGTAGGTGCCCAATGTGTGTGAGGGATTTTGGTGTATTTTTTGGTGTATTTTGGTGTATGAAGGAACGAATGGTGACGGATAACTATTATGGCGAATGAGTATATTGTAACGAATTAATCGGTCGTGAATCCGATTAGCTACGTATGAGGTAGCTAGTGATGATCAACCTTGACCAATCTCCCCTCTTTTTCTGGACTTGTGCTACAATTACTATATCAGTAATAAATCTCAGACAAGCAAAGTTCGTACAAAGATTTATAAATTTTGTAGATTTATATATTTTTAGACTTGAAAAAGAATTGTTTAAATATAACGCGAAGAAGACATTTTGTCGAAATATTGTATAAAATTGTCAAGCAATGTAATTTTTTTTCCTTTTCTTTTTCTTAAATCGCGCTCTCCTCTTAACTGTTGAAAAATATTGGAAGATTTACGTCAATCATTTTGATTAATAATAATAATAATAATAATAACAATCCTTCATCTATTTTTTATAATTAAACAAAATTTCATATCTGTTTTACGTTAGGGAATTGATAGCTGAGAAAATATCTCCTCTTCCCTGTGAGAGAAATTCTTAACCAGAATCTATTAAATGCAAAATCTGATATTTCAAATTTATATAAAATGCAAAATATGAACTTTATATTTCTGCTAAATTAAAACTCTGCAAATTTTGAAAGAAAAAAAAAAGACAGGCTTCAATGGATGGCTAATGTCAACTTTTCAAAATGGCTACATTCATTTTTCCTTCAGCAATGATGGGATGTCATTTCCGTGCAAAATCCCGTGCAGTGAGGAACAGACCTTTACTCGACCGTAAAATGAATCCGAAAGCTGTTTTCAACCGTAAATGGAAACAACTGTTCCTTTCACGAAATAAAGCTTCTATTTAATTTTACAAAACCTTGTTGGGAATTGTTGGCCTTGTTAGAAGCGCTTGTGCCAAAAACGGATATGGTCACCACCGATTTCCTCCAAGTCGAGCGAAAGAATTGAAGTAAATGGAGGAATAAAATGATTTAAAATGAATTCAGCACAAATCATATAACGCAGCAAGAATTATTTTTCTCTGATTAAACCATATCTGTACTTGGGAATTTACAATCAAATTCCGTTAACTCTTAGACAATGATTATTATTATTATTATTATTATTATTATTATTATTATTTACTCTGGTTTCTCTTGCATACACATTTGCTTCCGAGTCGCAACCAGAGACCTTAGCTCAGTAATGGATTCATGCCATTTTCCGCTGATCATTTTTGTAAAACAAACATGACATGAACTTATTCTTCAGAATATTAAAATAAAAAACCGTGAATATTTCATGGGTTAAAACTCGTTATTATTATTATTATTATTATTATTATTGACGACATTGGGTTAAATACAGAAAATTTTATACCCTCTTCTAAAACCTTCCATTATTATTATTATTATTATTATTATTATTAGAAGAAGAAGAAGAAGAAGAAGAAGAAGAAGACTTCATTACTTTTCGCCACCTATATATGCCGTACTGTTCATGTCGTGATCGATCGTGGCTCTACATATCTTAATATTTAAATAGCCCATAGTAATGGTAGCTATAAAGGTAGCGAGACATAGTTCAATATTCAGTCTTTTGTCAGAGAGAATGGATCGACCTCTATGAAGGCCGTGCGCTGTTTAGACTACAAACCCTCCACTCTCGGACGTACAGACATGATCCCAGAGCATTATATTTGAAACCAGCTTGGTCGTTGTTGTTGCTGGAAAGTTGTCAGTGCTGACAGCTAACAGCTTTCGGGGTTTTCTATTTGCTTAGCTGTAAAGGATGAATAAGTCCGGTGAGAAGACACAACCTTGTCTTACTTCATTTCCAGAACCAGTAGATTATTGTATAACATGTAAAAACACAAGATTAATGATAAAACCTATGTGATTAAAGATAGAACCTACGAGATTAAATATAGATCCTACGAGACGAGATTAAAGATGGGAACACGGGATTTATATGGAATTATCGAAAAATGCGAAAGATTTAAGTACTGTCACTGAAAACTTATCTGAAGACACAAAACTGGCTCACACAGAAATTAATTCATTTTTGTACACAGGCCGGCTTAAATTTGAATTTCTATATTCATAAAAATTAACCAATCAGCGACGCCAGATGAATCTTACGGTATTCTTTGAATTTGCAATCAATTAAGATTTGTTGTTTGCTACGAAATTTTGGAGGATTACTTCAGAAAATGACCAACAATAATTCCCTCCTTAAGTCGATATTTAAATATTGGGAAAATATTTATTAGCCAATAAATTAATGAGATTAAGAAACTAAATTTTTGTTTTTTTCTGGAGTCGATATTTCGTTATAAATGCGATAAGTTCTAATAAGATAATTAGTTTTCAGTTAATCCTTGAGGAAGGTGGTGGCTCGTTTGTTATATAGACTTTAATTACTCATATTTTCCCATATTTATTCGAGTATACTAGATTACAAAAAAAAGGTTTAGCAGTATTGACATACAGACTACGTGTGTTTACAAGCGTAATCAGTATTATTAATACAACTCACTGCTCATATTTTGCCGACTACTACAAATTACATGCATACATAAAACAACGTAAGTACGTGATAAACACATAATAATATCTAGACGAATTCTAAACTAAAGTAATTAATTCGGTGGTATCGTAAACTTGATAACATAAAAATATTTTGTATGAAGGTTTTCACAAAGAATTTTTGTAATTTCTTTCAGTTTGAAAGGAATTTAATACTCTATAATAAATATTTATTTAAATTTTGTAGATTCCTGTCGAAGATTGTTTATTTCTTCGTTTTATTCCACATATTCTTCTACATGTATACAAGTCGAAAATTCCCAACATCTGAAGAAGGCTGAAGCGTACAATCATTAAAATGTCGTGAATATGGCAGCAATCTATGGACAACAATTCGAACAATGTAAATAGTGTAAATAGTTACAATACTCCATCTTAGAAGCATAGAGAATTCCTGAAGAATGTCGGAGCGTACAACGGCCGAAATGTCGAGAATATGAAAGCAAAACTGAGGACAAATCACCGAACAATGTGAACAGTGTAATTAATAACAATACATCATCTCAGAAATATAGGCAGATCATGAAGAAGGCCGGAGCCTGCAACAGCCGAAACGTCGTGAATATGTCAGCAAAGAGGAAGACAACTGTCCGAACACTGTAAATAATGCGAATATTTACAATGCTTCATCTCAGAAATATAGACAGATTCTGAAGAAGGCCGGAGCGAAAAACGGCCGAAACGTTGTGAATAGGCAATAAAGATGAAGAAAATACTGCGAGCAATGTAAATACTTACAATACCACATCTCAGAAATATAGAAAAATCCTGAAGAAGGGCGGAACGCGCAACAGCCGAAACGTTGTGAATATGTCAACAAAAAGAGTTACAATAAATTATCTCAGAAATATAGACAGATCCTGAAGAAGGCCGGAGAATACAACCGCCGAAATGTCGTGAATAGGTAATAAAGATGAGGAGAACTCTCCGAGCAATGTTAATACTGTAAATAGTTATGATACCACATCTCAGAAATATAGAAAAATCCTGAAGAAGGCCGGAAAGCGCAACAGCCGAAACGTTGTGAATATGTCAACAAAAATAATTACAATAAATTATCTCAGAAATATAGACAGATCCTGAAGAAGGCCGGAGAGTACAACCGCCGAAATGTGAATAGGTAATAAAGATGAGGACAACTCTCCGATCGATGTTAATAGCGTAAATAGTTACGATACAACATCCGAGAAATATAGAAAAGTCCTGAAGAAGGTCTGAATGCGTAACGGCCGAAACGTGAATATGGCAATAAAATAGTTTCAATACCTCATCCCTGAAATATACAAAGATAGACAAGTATAAATATATAAAAGATCTACAAAAATAACAATGTCATAATTTTTGGTACATTTTTTTTATTGGCTAATGTAACTCCGAGTCGTTAGTATTTTTCGCGGGCTTTAAGTTGGACCCTTAATCAAAGGACAATATAGGTTTATTTCATTTTTGGACATTTTCCATACATGTTTGATTTGTAAGTTCCCCAAATACATGCTGCTTGATAGTTGTGTCGAGAAATCAACGTTGAAATGAAAAAGAGACGAACACATTATAATGTTATACAAATGGCTTTCAGTTCTAAATATACATCGTTATTAGGCACGGCTTTAAGTAGCTATAACAAAAAAGGCAAGAAGGCATTTCAAATGACATTTTCATTAACATTTTATGCTCAGATTTACGCGGTAAGAGGAAGCAATATTGATATTTAGTAAGTAGGAAACGAGTAGGGAAAGAATTCAAGTACTTTTTTCATTATTTCGCTAATTTTGACTTACATCTTTGAAGTTAACACGCTTACAGCTACAAGGCGACTGTATCGTTTTTGTTGTGTAAAGACCTAAAAATCAATTGTAAGACGACAGAGGGTACGATTGTTATCAAAAGAAACGGCCCAACATACGAATTACTAAATGAGGAAATAACAAAATCCAACAAGTATAAAAATATAAATACCTAGGAAGTATTTTAAGAGGGGAGAAAAAAATATGACACCGAAATACAAGGTGCATTGAGATAAGCGAAAGATGACTTCCAAAAACTCAGCAAAGTATTAAGAAACATGAAAATTTCGTTAGAAACTAACCAAAAATGTATTGATTTTATTACTTTCTTTTTACGGTTTATCCCCCTTTTGCAGGTTATTTAAAGCCAGAAATAATTTTTTTAGAGTGTAAGAAACTTTTCGGAAATAATAATGATTTACTTATGCAAATCACACTCATTAACCCATAGATGGAGGGAGAAGATGGAAATTCATTTCCTCGCGGTATTTGCGCGTAAAGTCATTTTCATCATCATCATCTTGCGGCCTCAGCCGAGATTGAACTCACTACACTTTTCCAGTATTTCTTATCTGTCATAGCTAATACTTTGATTGGTGTAGTTCATAATCTTGTCAAATAGCTGAATTCTTGATGCTTCGCTAGGGCTATCAAGGGTGTTTTTTATCGTGACACCATCACTAAATGGATTGCCAACCAAGGCTCAGAGAGACTCCATTCAAAAAAAAAGGTTTTTTGAATTCAGAATTGTCCTTCTCCTAGACCAGTTGCCATCCAAGGCTATAGAACCTAGTCTGTCCTGCTATTTACCCATAGCTGGACAAAGTCATCTTAACTGGCACGACTGGAATTTGAACTCGACTTTCGAGCCATTGCAATATTTCGCCATCCGCACATCCAAGATTTGAACATCTTGGTATTCCCATGTGGCCATCAATTTAGGTTACTGACCAGACTTAACGTTGCTTAACTTCAGTGATCGAACCGGTGAAAATATTACTGAGCTATCGATCTTTCTATAAAAGAGGGAATGATGGACACTCTCCTCAGAGATGAAGAAACGATTTGAGACAACAGAATTGCAGTTGTACAGAAGAAGGCTGAGACTGCAATGGATTGACCACGTGAGCAACGGCGAAGTTTTAAGGAAAATGGAAGCAAAATGGAGATGTAATAATCATCAGAAAGAGGCTACTGGGATTTCTAGGAGAGATACCGAGGAAAGAAGGCTTGAGAAATTGATACTGTCAAGACACTGAAGGGAAAAAGGGACAGAGAAAAACTGCGCATCATGTGCCTAACGATCTTGTGTAAATGGTTGGTAGAACAGGGATTAGGAGAGATCGCAAAAAGGCGAACCTTACTAAGAGCTTAAAAGGACCGAAAATGCTTCAGGGCGATTATGATACACGTCCTGAAGGGACAGAGCATATAGAAGAAGGTGATGATGATGATGAAGAAGAAGAAGAAGAAAAGGAGGAAGAAGAAGAAAAGGGGGAAGAAGAAGAAAAGGAAAAGAAGAAGAAGAAGAAGAAGAAAGAGAAGAAGAAGAAAGGGAAATGAAGAAGAAAAGGAAGGAGGAGAAATTGGATGAAGAAAAAGAAAAGAAAGAAGAAGACGAAGAAGAAAGGGAAAAGAAGAAGAAAAGGAAGAAGAAGAAGAAATTGGATGAAGAAAAGAAAGAAGAAGAAGACGAAGAAGAAGAAAGGGAAAAGAAGAAGAAAAGGAAGAAAAAGAAGAAAAGGAAGAAGAAGAAGAAAGGAAAAGAAGAAGAAAATGAAGAAGAAGAAAGGGGGAAGAAAAAGAAAAGGAAGAAGAAGAAAAGGATGAAGAAAAAGAAAACAAAGAAAGAAAGAAGAAGAAGAAGAAGAAGAAGAAAAAGAAGAAGAAGCAATGGAAGAAGAAAAAGAAGATAAGGAAGAACAAGAATAAAAGGAAGAAAAAGAAAAGGAATGAAGAAGAAAAGGAAAAGAAGAAGAAGTAGGAGAAGAAGAAGAAGAAAGGGAAATGAAGAAGAAGGAGAAATTGGATGAAGAAAAAGAAAAGAAAGAAGAAGACGAAGAAGAAATGGAAAAGAAGAAGAAAAGGAAGAAGAAGAAGAAATTGGATGAAGAAAAGAAAGAAGAAGAAGAAGAAGATCTTCTTTCGAAAAGAGAGGGGAAAGAAAGAAAAGGATGAAGAAAAAGAAAACAAACAGTTAAAGAAGAAAAGGAAAGAAGAAGAAAAGGAAAGAATGAATGAAAAGATAAAAGAAGAAGAAGAAGAAAAAGAGGGGAAATGAAGAAGAAAAGGAAGAAGAAGTAAAAAGAATGAATGAAAAAAAAAAAAAAAAAAGAAAAGAAAGAAGACGAAGAAGAAATGGAAAAGAAGAAGAAAAGGAAGAAGAAGAAGAATAAATTGGATGAAGAAAAGAAAGAAGAAGAAGACGAAGAAGAAAGGGGAAAGAAAAAGAAAGGGGAAAGAAAAAGAAAAGGATGAACAAAAAGAAAACAAAGAAAGAAAGAAGAAGAAAAGGAAAGAAGAAGAAAAGGAAAGAAGAAGAAAAGGAAAAGATGAAGAAGTAGGAGAAGAAGAAGAAGAAAGGGAAATGAAGAAGAAAAGGAAGAAGAAGGAGAAATTGGATGAAGAAAAAGAAAAGAAAAGAAAGAAGACGAAGAAGAAATGGAAAAGAAGAAGAAAGGGAAAAGAAGAAGAAAAGGAAGAGGAAGAAGAAGAAATTGGATGAAGAAAAGAAAGAAGAAGACGAAGAAGAAAGGGGAAAGAAAAAGAAAAGGATGAAGAAAAAGAAAACAAAGAAAGAAAGAAAGAAGAAGAAGAAAACGCGCTAAAAAGCTTTTGAGAAACCCCCAAAAAAACATTCCGTCAAACTCTGTAAACTTAAAACATTTCGTTTTGGAAAGCAACACGATGAAGTTTGGGAAAAAGTTTTTCCACCACATCAAACTTTCAAATCACAGCACGGCCATAAACATCTGGGAATGTACGTTGGAAAGTTTGCTAAAATGTCTACTATTTTGTGATACTTTTACACAAAAGAAAAATTTTCGATCACAAATAAAATTTACATCTAATTACTCCAAAGCTAGTGTTGAATTTTTAGACAATAAAGTTCTCAAGGAATCGTCCGATGAGTGAATTATTTTGCAAATCTACGCCATCACATATTTACCTAAACCGCCATTCTTATCATCCTTATCACAAGATAAAATCAAACCCGATCTACCAATTTTTGGAGCACCAGGCGAATTTACAGAGATAAAAGATTATTGGAAACATGCTGATAATTTCATTCGGCTATCAAAAATCGTGACTGAAACAAATTGCCAATGAAATAGCAACAAATAAAGATTACCATAATTTTATAGCAGGTCAAAACATCCAAAAACACATTAGAAATTCTGACAGAATTCCATCAGTCATCAATTGGCACCGAAATTTTGTTGTAATTTCGAAAATTCTACACGGCATCTATAAACACATTGCTCAAAAATATCCGCATTTTAAAGAGATCTTTTCCAGACCGCCATACATTTTTTTTCAAAAGGCATAAAAACATCAGACAAATTTTAACAAATGTAAGCATCCACACTCAAAACAACATTGGAGTTTCAGATCAATGTCCTCCCGAAAACATTCATGGAAGATATAAACCCTGTGCGTTGTGCAACAACATGAGTCAAGTTAATTCTATCACAAATTCAAAGAGAAATATCACGACTTCTACAGAAGGTCGTAATTGTACTGATTCCCATTTAATATACGCCGACCAATGTGCCAAACATGACTTGATTTATATTCACTACACAACGGAAAAATAAAAAAAAAAGATTCAATGGCCACAGGTATGAAGTCAGACACAACGATGTGACATCATCAGAATTCACAGAACATTTTATTACAAACGACTGTAATTTCGACAAACATCTTAAGGTGCACATTCTGAAAATTACTTAACTGAAAAATTTGGAAGAGTTACATCAATCGTTCGCTTTATTATTGTTACTGACATTTTTTGTTTAGATGCGGTCAAATTAGTTAGAAATGGCGTTATTATTATTATTTTTATTTTAACAAAAAAAAAAAAAAAAAAAAAAAAATTAAATTACATAGATAAAGCCCTTCGTAATGTGTGGGCTGTACTTGTCAGAACAATTTTTTGTATCTCCTTGAGGCATGGACTTCCAGGAATCCCTTCAATTAGTCTACTGCAATCTTTTCCAACCAGTCCTAGGGCTCCAACTACAACAGGGATTGTTGATGTTCCCATATGCCACATTTTCGAGATTTCTATTTCAAGGTCCTTGTACTTTGACAACTTTTTGAATATCTTCAAAGATACATTGCAGTCAGCTGGGACTGCCATATCAATAAGGAGGCACCGTTTTTGTTTGTGGTCTTTAGTTTAACAATATCTGGCCGGTTGGCCTTGATTGTTCTGTCAGTGTGTATTATTAATATAAAAGAATTATAACAGGTCCTATCTCCGTAACCGGGTTTGGGAGGGTATTCATACCAGATTATTATTATTATTTTATTATTATTTAATCATTTTTTTCCAAGGAAAAAAAAACACAGTGAATAATAATAATAATGTGACATAATAATAAGAAACATTAATAGGAAATATAATAATAAAAGGAAACTAATTAATAAGCGTACTCAAGAAAATGATTAAAAAACATTTAAATTTTGAAATCAAAGTTCCCTGGCAGGTAGTAGCCGGTAAAAGTTTCAAAAAAATAAAAAAAACTAAACATAGAACGGCACATTGAAATTGAAATGTATAAAAGTGAAATACAAAAATTGCCAATCTAGTATTACGCTTAAAAGAACTTTGACCAGGTAACTAGGAAAGTTCATTAGAACGGGATTTAGAAAAAACAAATCAGAAAATTACAAGGAATAACGTTACGGCGGTAGGAAAGTGCTTTATTATTATTTGTAGCTGATGGTGAAATTTAATTATAAATAAATAATAATAATACGATAATAATAGCCAATAATAATTATCAAATTTAAATTGAAGCATTTTTAAAATAGATTCTAATACATTTGTTGAAAACAAGAAACTGTTTTATTATTTTTTAATCAGAATTTTCGTATTAGAAAAAATTTTTAATTATACGCAAATATATATAATGCGCAGAATGGATAGCAGCACAAACCAACACATTGAATTACAGTTACCTTTGAAAGATTATTTATTTTTATCTGAATCCATTTTTATTTTTCATTTTGCGAATTGATTTTCTATCTATTTATCAATGATAAAATCTATCTAAAGCTGTGGAATATGCGCATAGGATATACAAAAATAATGAATATTCGTTAAAATTTGCATTAGGCGGAAATGTCTGGATGGATCTTGATTCTTAGAAGCATATTAAAAAAGGAAGGAAAATATCACTCTCTGAAATCTTTGAAGGAAGACTCTCGATGAGCTTTTGAAAAAAAAAAAAAAAAATCTCTCTCTCTCTCTTAACACGAAATAAAAAAAATTCTGACTCTCTCACTTCGTGTCATTTTTTTTAATGTCATTGATGTTTTCTCTCTACTTCCCCTCCTATCCATACATATATTGAACAGATTTTAGGCATAATTTATGTCGGACAGAATGTTAAATTATATCCTGCATTTGAATTCTTGCTCGCAACATTGTAGTGATCAGGGAAGCATTTTCAGCTGATAAATCAAAGTCTATGGCCTGAAAGATTTGGAGAATAATTAAAATATCTTAATCACGCGACTACATGAAGGCAGATGAAGGTAAAAAGAATACATCGACTGAAAACAAAAAACAAAACAAGTGTTGGAAAAATATGAAATTTATAAATGCCTGAAAAAAGTCTTTACTGAATAAAAAAATCATTCATAAACCTCGAATCGGTGATTTTTTGTTTGAAACTCCCATCGAAACAAAAACGTAAAATTATTATACCGCATTTATAAATCATAATAGCCCAGCCCGTTTTCGGCCTAATATGGTAACTATTTTTAAAGTTAGGTGAAGTTTGAGGGCCACTCGAGACATCGATGTTTACAGTGTAAGAGAAGCTTATGTGGATATCCTGGAATATTTAACTGTTATAAAAAATGAACAGGTTAACGTTATGATTGGGGAAGCATCCACTAGGGCGTAGGTTCCAAAGGAAGAGGCAATATAGGAATATATATATACCATATATATATACGAATATATATATATTTTAAAGACAACAGGTTTTGGCGTTAGTTGTTTTTATAGAACAATATTTCATCAAAACACTTGTCATGGAAAAATTTAGTAAAAACGGTTTCAAACATGAATGTTATAGAAATGAAAATTAATAAACGAATCTTAAAAATAACAAATTAATAAATTATGTTTGACTCAAAAAATTGGTACAAATAAAAAACAACATGGAGGTTTCTAAAATCGTGTCAAATGAACTGAATTTTTTTTTTTGAAAATTTTTCGTTATTCAGGCCGGTAAATTTTTTAATACTGTTTATCAATGAAATCATATTTAAATCGGTCTTGGTATTTTTACAGAATAAACCCTATTGTTTGATTAGTTCGGAATTGAATAAGTTTAATATATATATAAAAAAATAAATATATATATATATATATATATATTATATAAAGTCAGTCATCGATTCCAATTCAGATGAGTGATCAAATTGAAAGATAATATATCGATGAGTAATACACATTTTTTGTTTTGTTTATGATGCTGATGAAGGACTCAAATTAGATTTATTTCTCGGAAAAAAAACCTAGAATTTTAATGGCTTTGTATTCTGATTTATTGTGAAAATTAATTAATATTTCATGAGGTCAGTTCATTAAAAAGTTAAAGCCATTTGTTTGCGAAACATGTTTTTCTATCCCAGATTTGTTTAGCAAATATTGAAACTTAAATACACACGAAGCAGATATTGTTTAGCTGAGTCTATAATATATACAATAGTTGCTTTCTCAGTACGGATGTTCTCACCGACAAATAGTCAGCATTATATTAGGTGGCGTATGTTTTATAGACATTTTTGATCCTTTTTTTATTATTTAATTTGTTTAAACATAGTAATATTAAATTTATACTTTTATTTTGTGACTTAACAGAACACAAAAAAAAATCTTTAAATATATATATGGATTTAATATAGCAAGTAAAATATATATATAAATATATTATAGACTTAGTTTTTGATTTAGTTTCGCTTCGACTTTGATATTTTCTACTTTTCATATTTGAAATAGACAATAGAATTTATTTACGAAGTGAATTGTTTATATCTGCCATAAGACCATAGGAGAAATGCCATCAAAAAAATTAAATAAAGGAAGAAAATTCGATGACGAATATATTTGTCTTAAATAAATTTGAATTTTTATGTCATCACTGATTTAAAGATTCACGAAGGTGAGAGGATTTGGAACTAGTTATTTCATTTTATAGAGTTGAAAGATAAAGTTCAAGATATTTTTTGGATGTTTTTTTTTATAACATATTTTTGGATAAGTAAGTGCTTCTTTTTTTGGAATGATTATCACAGGATAATTACTGGATTTGAAAAACGACCATTGTTCCAGCGTCGTTAACGATGGTCTTTAGTATATTATTTCCATTAATATCCACGGGATAAAAGTCTCTAGGGACAATTTCAAGCACGGTTCTCCACTGAAAGAAAGTTTTTCGCAGTTTTGATCCTTGGTAATGGAAGTTAAGAGAATATTTTCATAGCAACAACGTGCGCTCTGGCGCCGGTGTGAAGACAAATGGAAAATGTGAAAAAAAATATTAGAAAAAAAAGAAAATGAAAAAATAATAAAACACACCTGGTAATTTCGTCATCCAGAAATAGTTGCAAATCT